TCGGAGTTATATTAAAAATTGTCCTGGCTATTCCAAGCTCTATCATTGCAGTCAGCGGGTGTTGCAGTTGAACAGCCCACAAGCCATCAAATAAAGCGCGCGCATCCATAACAAAACGTGCCTCACACGGCTCCGGGGGGTGAATAGAGGCCTCCTGTAGTGAATCCAAGCATTTTTGTAAGAAAAATATCCATATTTTAAATGTAATGAACACTTTTCTCTCACTTCCGGTATCTGTCATACGCGGAAGCGTGCCGGTGGATGACGCAGCACGTATGCGCGCCTCTGAGGTATGCTAGTCTTGCGAGTTTGTTTATAGGAGCAAAGGAAGCAAAGTTTCCTTACTTTAGCAAAGGAAAAGCAGTCTCCTCTTGGTTTATATCGAAATCCTCTGACATTTTTCTTTGCAACTCCTCGGTTTGTACTTCTAATTCATGACCGGCGTTTTGTTTTGTTCTCTCTTCGCGTTCGTAACAAATCACGCAACGCCGACATGCTACGTCACCCGCCGGAACGGCTTCCGCGTATGACAGATAACGGAAGTGAGAGAAAAGTGTTCATTACGTTTGAAATATGGATATTTTTCTTACAAAAACGCATGGATTCACTACAGGAGGCCTTTATTCACCCCCCGGAGCCGTGTGAGGCACGTTTTGTTATGGATGCGCGCGCTTTATTTGACGACTTGTGGGCTGTTCAACTGCAACACCCGCTGACTGCACTGATAGCGCTTGGAATAGCCAGGACAATTTTTAATATAACTCCAACTGGATTCGTCTGAAAGAAGAAAGTCATATACACCTAGGATGCCTCGAGGGTGAGTAAAACACAGTCTAATTTTTATTTTTGGGTGAACTAACCCTTTAATGTCTGGCCTTGAGCCTGATATAAACCACCAGCTAAGGCAACGCATGCTAAGCACAACTTCACACTGAACTGCACTTAACAGGGGAAGATAATACGCCTGCTCTAAACCCCCAGCCCTGCACAGAGCCTCAAGAGCTTTAGAAAACTGGAGAGAATTACACTAGTTAGTGGTGGTTGGAGGAATTTTCATCATAATAGGGAAGAATGAGGATGAAAAATTCCCATGGATTTACACTAAAAAAGGGACCAAAGTATTATTGCTATTTTTAACTAAAACAAAAACTATTAAAAAATAGTTTTCTTTATTGAAATAAATCAAAAAAAAAAAAGTAAAAATTTTAATGTTTAAAATGAAAAATAGTTTTCTTTATTTAAGTAAATAAAAAAATTAAACATGAAAATTAAAAAAGGAAAAATAATACAATTAAACAAAAAATTTAATAAAAACAATAAAATAAATAACTAAATAAATAAAAACTTAAACTAAACAAGAATAAGAAATAAAATAAGGTTAAGTTAAAATACTAAAATTACTACAGCTAAAACTGAAATAAACATAGAAATATTTTTTAAACAAATAAAATGATAAAAGCCTATAACAAAATCACTAAAACGTAAACTAAAATTAAAATTAAAATAAAAGCTTAAAATTTAAAAATGAAAGCTAATTCACAAAATGTATAAATAAATATTATAATAGTATATAAATAATACTAAAATAACACTGGACCCAAGCTATATCTAATTAAGTAACTTCCTAGCAACTACCCAGAACTATGATTTTTTTTTGGGACATTATCACAATGATAATAATTTATTCTATTTATTTTAATTTATTCTATCTATTTATATTTATTCTATTTATGACTGTACCATGGTACTGCTACATTTTTTTGTAAGCGCTGACCACTTCCAAGGGATATTATCTTGCCGTTTTGGATCAATGTTAAGTCAGCATCTGCACTCTTGAATGGATACCTGAGGCTCTTACATTTCCTCTGAAAAATAATATTCTGTGTTATTTACAACTAAAGCTCAATCAGCAGCATCTGTGGCATGCTGTCGATTACCACAAAAATGGTGCCATTGATAGTTGCATATTTTAAATGTTTACACACAGTGCTGCTCACTTGCATACTAATGCATGATTTTTGTTGTTTTTAAAACCTGAAGCACAAGAATAATTTTCTTTAATTGACCGCATGTCACAGATGTTATTGATAGTGTAAAGCTGATTTCTGTGCTACTAGCATCACAAAATGTTATGATTTTTCCTGAACATTTCCCTGTCTGCCATTGGTTGAAAAACAGGTCATCCCGCCCAAAACTAAGCCAATGTTTCTGCGTTGGGCTGGTTTTGAAAGCAGCACACAATTCATATTATTTACACTTTTTTAAGAAAGATCAACTCAACAAATGACTGACTGTTGTCTCTGTACATTAAGCTGGGACAATGAACATTGAAACATCTTAAGATTAGGGTATCTTAACATTGAAAAAAATGACTTCAAGTTAAAATTGAACCAGGTTTGAGCTGTGAAGTTTACACTAGAAAAACTAGCTGTAAACACTGCTGGTGGCATATGTGTGAAGTGGCGACTCCAAGGTTACAGAGCATCTGAGCTGGATCAGCACTTCCTTTTTAATGGGGCATTAAGCAGCACCTCGGTACAGGATTAATCAGCTACAGATCTATAAAAAAAACACTCAGCACTCACCAGTCTCGGGTTTTGAGTACTCTAGACACAGGATCTCAGAGTCGTGGGCCTGAACGTCTAGAATTTCCTCCATGCTCTCCAAATCATGGATTCTGGAAACAGCAGAAGTTCAGTGAGGGTCTGATTGTGAAGTTTCTAAACTAAAAATGTTTGCATTTTCTGAAGAACAACATAGTATAATGCATTAAGAATGCTTTTGTAATGCATACAGTCTTCACAGAAAGTGTAACAAACAGTATTTTTCCCACATGCACGTGATACCCAATACACAAAAACATCCTCCTTTTGATTAAAACCCTCAGAGGATCAATTAACTCAAATTAATTAGAGTAGAAGTGTTAAGCAGACATGTGAAAAACAGACCTCAGTGTTCCATTGCGGTCCCCTGATGCCAGGTGCAGCCCGTCTGGGCTCACGCACATGGTCCTAATGCCTGTCCGGTTATCTGAGGTCTGTGGGTCGGCCTTCTCAGAGTTACTGGAGATGGTGCAGTCCGTGTCCAGCAGGGGGGAGGTGTTGCTGTCCATATAAATGACCTTCTGGAGGTCCTTTGGTGACGAAAAAAAAAGATCATTTGTGACTTGTTCATTACATTTATACAGATACATATACTTAAATCACTTAAAATGCATGAATATTGTTATGTTTGATAAAATATCAAAGCAAGCGGCATCTGCAAATCTACCAAATCATAACCAAGTAAACATTTCTGTGCAATTTTTGCAATTATTTTTAACCAACTTCTACTGAGGTTTGACAATGATAAAGTGTCCAAATATGCCATTTTAATTTTGAACAGTATTTCTACAGTTTTATCATTAACTATCTCACAAACTTAAAAAGTTAGATTATTTTCTTTAAAAATGTATGCCATTTGATATGATATGTGAAATGTTTGACGTGTGAATGAAATGTCTAAATGCCTTTTAAGGTCAGAGTTGCTGATAGTACAGTAGCTGACATTTTTTTAATGAAAATATGCAGTTTATGAAAGAAGTATGTATCAGTTCACAGTAATAACCCTAGTATGATACGTTTTTCACAGAGAATACACAATTAAAAAGTTTGATTTTGAGAGAAGTCTCCTATGCTCACCAAGGCTGCATTTATTTGATCAAAAATACAGTACAAACTGTAATATTATGAACTATTATTATAATTTAAATTGGCAGGTTTAAATTTCAGTATATTTAAAATGCAATTTGTTCCTGCGATGCAAAGCTGAATATTATAGCATCATTCCTCCAATCTTCAGTGTCACATGAGGCTTCAGAAATCATTCTAATATGCTGATTTGCTGCTCAAGAAACATTTCTTATTATTATCGATGTTGAAAACCATTGTGCTGCTTAAAATTTTTGTTAAAACCGTGATGCATTTTTCCTTTTTTTTATGTACAAAAGAACAGCATTAACTTAAAACAGAAATGTTTTGTAACATTATGTAAAAACCTTTACTCTCACTTTTGATCAATTTATTGCATAGTGTATTTATTTGCAATTAAAAAAAAATCTCAAAGAAAAGACTGGATTCATTTCAAGTCTTGAGTTTCCAGAACTCACGTTGCTGATGACGTTTCGGCTGAGGGTGGTGTTCTGAGCGTCTGTGTTCCATAAACGGAGAGTATTGTCAGAAGAACAGCTGAGGAACGATCCGGGAGACAAACGTGGCTGCTCTCCATCCCTCGTCTCTGGGTACACCTGCAGCACAAAGGCATTACATCACACAAACTCACACATAAAGACAAATACAGGTGTATTTACTCTAATGTAGCATTTAAACTCTATTAGGTCATTATCAACCAAAAATCAAAGGAGCGGTCTTATGCACTGGGCGTTAATCACGCATCCTCTTTATACATACAGACAATAACCATCTAAGTGATACACAGGGACTATACAGTACATTCTGACATTGGATAGGATAGCTTTTTCATTATTTAACAACTATTTCAAAAGTAATAAGGTATTTTCTGGCATATTTTGAATATAGTCACGACCGAAACTGTCTGTGCAACAAACCATTTAGCTGACACTATGTTCACAATAATTCAGTTTATCACTGATTAAATATTTAGGCCTGTACCTGTGTTATTTTAGAATCACTGATATAGTCTTATAGTTTTTGAATTACATTTCATTTTCATATATTATTTTACTTTCATTTTAGTTAGTTTTAATATTTTTGTTTTAATTCTTATAAATAATTTTGATTTAGCAGTTTTAGCTAATTTAGTTTTATTTATTTTTTTTACTTCAAGTAAAACAAAAATTAGATAATGTTCAAATGTAATTTTTTTGTGGTTTTAGTTTTAGTTCATTATAATAACCCTGACCTGTAATTATGGACATATTTCAGGAACTTTGATGAGGACACAAAATACCAGACAACTAAACTCACAACAAACCAAAAGGGAAGTCACAGTCATGAATCATGTGATCTGATATGAGCACACAGCCAGGGCCGTTTTAACCATTGGGCTACGCGGGGCTGAAGCCCCGGGGCCCGAGCAAGGAGGGGGCCCGTGATTGGCTGTGGAGTAGATTGACTGGAGCGCTGATCGCCAAAGCCACCACGCCCCCCACTTAGCGCTGTTATTTAGTTGAGCTTTTCCATAAATTCCATGCATTACCATTTGAGATTGAAACGTAAAGTCTGAATTTGGTTTACCAATCAAATGCATTTATTCTATATTTGACTTTTGAACGATATGCACGCGCATGCATTCACCTCTCTTCACTTTGTTCTGGAGTAATCCATAGCCCCGGGGCCCAGTGCGGTCTTAATGCGGCCCTGCACACAGCCCACGACACAACCTAAAAAAACAGTATATGCTGCATGTTGACAAATCCCACAGGTTTTTTAAACACAGTAAAACACTATTCAACTGGTACAAAAACAGCAAACTAATTACATTCCTGACAGGATAACAGATATAAAACAAGGTATAACAGTTACAAGCAAGACTGAAACCTACAGCGGGTGGGTTTTTATTAATACAATAACCTCATATGAGTTCACATCAGGCCTTACAAAAATAATACAAAAACATGAGGCTCAAATACAAAAGACCTGCCTCACATTATTTCAGCAGGCAAAATGTCAACACACGACACAATGAAAGGACAAAAACAGACAAAAACATGTTACCACACACACGTCTCAGAAGTCAGAATACACTTGACTGAATTTTCTCAAAATTCTAAAAACATTTCTTGTACTTGAAATGCATTAAATTCATTTTGTAGGTAAAAGTAAACTATGTATGAACTATTTTTACAAAACTGAAAATGATTTTAGGTTTTGTATTATATTTTATATATTCAGATTTTTAATTTAATTTAATTAAAACAATTTTTTCATATTTTATTTGATTTTGTTTTGTTATTTTATGTTATTGTATTTTTTGCTATTTTATTCAATTTTATTTAATTTTTTTATTTTATACATCCACCTGATCACCACCGCCTTAATGCTTGCATGAAATGTTTGTCTTATTTGGCATGTCGCCTTGGCAAAAAACAAATAAAATAAGATTTTTTTTATTTTACTTTATTTCAGTTAGTTTAAAATGTATGCCCTTTTTCTCACCTCCACACTCCATACGCAGGCCGAATGGTAGAGAGCCGAGTAAACCTTGCCCACTTTACGAAGATCACGTACATCCCACACGTACAGACTGTGATCGTTGTAGACACAGGACAGCCAGCGGTTCGTGGGGTCATAGGACACGGCCACTGTGTCAGGATAGCGGACGTTTTCCTTGTAGGCGAAGAGATGGCTGTGAAGAGATCATAATAGAGGGACAGTAAAGACAGCTGTACTAAGAGGTCACTAAAGGTCTTCTGGAAGTGTCACGAGAAAATGTTTCCAAGCAGAACCCACACTTGTCCGCTGGCATGCATGGGGCAGTTTTTTGATGGTACATTTGTCTTTCTATGAAATGGCTTACCTTTACATTTCATGAATTGGAAAGTTACGAGCTACTAGCTACATGAATGCATATATATATATATATATATATATATATATATATATACAGTGG